AAAATTTTGAAAACACCTGGTCCGAATTGTACAAAAACCGGGATACGCCTATTCTACAATATGGAGATTTCAAATTTGATGTTTGCAGTGTTGCCAGATTTAACATTTTTCTATTATTATTATTCACTTTAGTTTTTTAAATACCAGGCTCTGTAAATTATTATTGGAATCCTCACTTCAGTACGAGTCCAACTTGGTAATTTATCTGATCACAAGGTATTAAATAAATAAACCTTCTCAGTGCCAAATAGTCTTGAAAGTAATTAGTAAATATATAATGCTCTGATTTTAACATTAATTCATAAAACAATATATTAAAGTCTATTGAAAACTTTTTTAAAATAAAAATAATAAAAAACCTTTATAAAAGCTATATATTTAAAAACCCTAACGGGCTAATTAAACAAAACGTTTTCGGAATCCATATTCCATCATCAGTGTCTAGGAGTACATGAATGTAGCCACTAAATATATGGGTAAAAACCCGTTAACAAATAATTAGTTACATTTGGTATATGATATTTCTTATAATACGTTATGATGTTGAAGTTACCGTTGGATAAGGTAACATGGCGACATATAACTCCACGTTGAAGTTGCTAGTCCTGAGACGGTGTGTCTACAAGGACTGTATGGAAGCAACTCTACAATGTATGACAATAGCAAAAGATCCGCTCAGATGTAAGTTAATGGTTGAGAACAACCCCATAGAACAGGTGATGCAATTCACATATCTGGGCATGACATATGGCATAAAAGTACCCAAAGATACCAACAAAACGCAACAGATGCTAAGGGTTGCCGAAATGAAAACCCTAAGAACAATAGTGGGCAAAACAAGAAGAGATAGGGTGAGAGAATACAAACGTTAGAGTGCAGAGCAAAATTTAAGATATTGTAAGATGGGGAAGGCAGCGTAAGAGGATGTGGTACAATCACGTAAGACGAATGGATGAGAATAGACTCCCAAAAATTGCCCTAGAAAACAATCCGTCCGGTTCAAGACCTCTCGGAAGACCACCTAAAAGATGGAGGGATAATTGGCAATCTACCTCTCAAGAAATTAACCAGAGGCAGCTTCAGAATTAAACAGATCGAAAGATCTCCAACAAGTAGAAGAAAAAGATAAGTGTCTAGCGCAAAGAAGCGGGGATCGCCTTTGGACAGGATCGTAACAGCGGGTTGCTATTGATCGAGCTGTGAAATTATATAAACAACGGATCATTTCATAAAACAGGTTTATGAAATTTGATACTACGAGCAATATTATTGAGTCTCTTAGAAATATGGTAGTACTTTACATGGTGTGAATCTAAAAACTTATTGAGAAGGCGTTTCTAGGCTTTTGTTTTATCTTTATAAGATATTCCTGACTACATAAAATGGAAAGTACTATACGATTGAACTGGCATCAACGTGTAGACTTCAATAAAGGCACAATATACAATGTGTTGTATTTAAAAAACCAAAATAACTAATGATATCAGAAAAATGGTATATCTGGCAGCATTAGATCAAATTTCAAATCTCTTCGTATTGAAAAATAGGTGTATTCCTGTTTTTGTATAATTCTAACGATCCATTTAAAAAATAATTATTCGTTTCCAGACTTTTGTTCCAATCTGTATACACACACACACACACACACACACACACACGCGCACACATACGCACACACACACACACACACACACATATATATATATATATATATATATATATATATATATATATATATACATTGAACGAAATAAATTCGGAACATAGGAATATAATGTATTTCGGCTCAATTCTGCTGTAGCTGGTTGGCCAACAAAAGATTGTCAAATAATTATATTATAAAAAATCCCATAATTCAGCGGGCTGCTAGATTCTGAACTCATAAAAATTGAAAGCTACACATAAATCTACGATTATGCTGTCAAACCAGTTATAGTCTAGGAAATGTAGCATTTCACCTCGCAATTTTTTCGTGCGGCGTTGATTGACTTGAAATCTAAGAGAAGGTAGGTAATAGCCTAAGGATCAAAATCTATATCGCACCAAAGTGCGCCAAAGCCTAGGGGGTGGTTGCCACCCCATCTCCGGGGTGAAAATTTTTTTTACGTTTTAACTACAGGTTTCGATTAGAAAAGTGATTCTAAACAAAAAATGTGCTATACATTTTTTTTTATAAAATGATATTTTTAATAAGTTATTCGCGATTGAAAGTAACAACTTTTAGACGAAAAAATCCACGTTTTTAATCGATTTTTCGCGAATAACTCGAAAATGGTGCATTTTATCAAAAAAATTGTAGAGAACAAATTTGTAGCTTTTAAAAAGACAAATACAATTACAAATACAATATCAATGTTCAGCGGTTTTCTTCAAATGCCAAATTTGAAAGATTCAAAGTCAAATATCGGGAAAATGATGCATTTTTGGAAGAAAACTCACAAAACCTTTTTTAAAGAGCATAAATAGACCTATCATAAAAAAATAAGGTCAATACCTCATTTTTTACGAAAAAATCGAGGAAAACAACACCCTAACCACCCCCATAATTAAAATCGATCTTCACCCTTCTGCAATTCCCTTTGTAGATGTATTGTTAATACGTCCAAGAAGTTTGACCCATTTAAAATGCTTAGTTTTAGAAAAAGTACAGCTTAAAGCGAGAAACGATTTACAATTTCATATTTTTTACCCTTCTTTTTTTAAATATGCCCGAAAATACTGAATATATGAAAAAAATCAAAATTACCAAATTGTAGCTTTTTTAATGACTAAAATTATGCTTTATTTAGATTTGTTGTACAATGAATATTTGGCGAGATATAGCCGTTTAAAGCATCGATTTACGATCAAGCACCATCTTTTTCGAGCCCTTTAAACTCACCCCATTTAAAAACCAAGGGTTCCAAAAAGATTTAATTCACAGATCCTTGTAGCTATTAAAAACCTCTACAAATCGTTTTTGAAGAAACATCTATCGTTAAAAATTAAAGGAAATACGTTAAAAAAAACCAGTTAATTTTTTTCCGGAAAATTCCATTAGTATAGTACAGTACATTTCGGAACATAATAATCTACAAAACCGGTATATTAGCTAGTGGGGCGTTATACATTCGAAATTTTAAGCGTTCTTATTTTGAAATCCCATACAACAGAATAAAACATCTGCTCATATGTCTATGGCTTGGCAATGAAAATATCAGAGCAACAGATTGGGGATGGTTTTCCAAAGATGGTTTGTTATTACCCGTACGCATGAACAAACAACCTGTACCCGATAAATTTTTGAAAATTATTTTTTGCCAATGCAAAAAAGGATGCGGCGTTTCATATGGGTGCAGAAAAGTTGGTTTATACTGTAACTCTACTTGTTCTGGGTGCTCAGGTGAAGGGTGCAATAACAGTCCACCAATAATTGAGGAAGATGATGATGACATAGATCACGATGAAGATGTAATTGATGACGAATAAAATTAATATTATAATTGTTTTACCTATAAATGTAAATATTTTCAACTATTTATGTAAATGTATAAGAATATATGGTGCCTTTTTATGTTGATAATTTTTTTTGTATTTAATTCTACTTTTTTCAATTTATATCTTATAAATTAGTTTATAAAAACTTCAATGTTGTAAAGGGTGATTTTCAAAAGTTGAAAAGTTATATGAATTTGTATTTTAAAGTATAAAAAACTCACTATTTAACTAATCCAAACCAAATTTCACTCATTTTAGGATTTGTAATATTATTTTACAATTTTTGAAAATTAGGGGTAGTTTTCACCCCTAAGAACAATCAGGGTTCATTAGCATGACATAAACTATAAAGCAGAGGGTGAGTTGAGCTTAATTCCAAATTTTTATGCAAGTCGTTTCAAGGTGAAATCATTTTCTTCGCATTACTAATTTTTTTATATTAATCTCTAATGAGGGTCGCTTTTTAAGGGTTGAAATATGATGGAACTTTATTGAAAAGCACGAAACTATCATTATTTAATTAATTCAAACCAAATTTTACCCACATTAAGGTTTAATATGTTATTTTATAATTTTTGACAATTAGGGGTAGTTTTCACCCCTAAGAACAATCAGGGTTCGTCGACATGACATAAACTATAAAGCAGCGGGTGAATTGAGCTTAAATCCAAATTTTTATCCAAATCGATACAAGGCGAAATCATTTTTTTAGAATTAGTAATTTTTTACATTAATCTTTACCAAGGGTTGCTTTTTAAGGGTTGAAATATGATGGAACTCTATTCAAAAGTATAAAATAATCATTATTTAATTAATTCACACCAAATCTTACCCATATTCAGGTTTAATATGTTATTTTATAATTTTTGACAATTAGGGGTAGTTTTCACCCCTAAAACCCTTCAGCGCACTTCGGTTCGATATAGATTTTGATCCTTGGGCTATTATCTACCTTCTGCTAAAATTTCAGCTGGATACATGCAGGACGAAAAAATTGCGAGGTTTTAACTTTTTTCGAGCTTCAATTCCTGAACTATTATCACCTCCTTAGACAAACCCGTCTTACGCAAACAACTTTGTTGCGAGACAGATAGTTGAACGATATTTTATACAATGTCTATACCCAGGTATGGATTTATTTTTGTCCAAGTTTTATATTGGTCTACTATTTTAAATGCAGTTCAAACAGACATGTATTAAATTGTATGTTCCGTTTTAATTTGGTTCAATCTGTATATATATATATATATATATATATATATATATATATATATATATATACATATATAATTTTTATATTATATTATACATAAATGTTTTTGTAAATTTGGAATATATTGGATATTTATTGTAAGTGATAACAAACTACAAAAAATCTTCGCATTAATACGAAAGCAACCAGCTCTAGGGCTTGGTAGTTTATTAAGGAATCTATTTAGCCGGCTAAAAATATAACTAATAAATTAAGGTCACACCATATCTTATCTAACCTAGTTGGTAATTTTTTTTAATTAGGTATATACTTACGGTATCAGAGAACCGTTCGGGTATACGAGATTGCCAACGACAATTCCCTCTATATCGCTAAACATAACTTTTCTACAGCCCAGCCGCCTCAATGCTATAAAGTCATATTTTACTAATATTAGGTTCTTGGCAGTCAACAAAAGTAAGCGTTCTTTGTCTGTGTCCCAATGATTGATTCTGAAAGTATTTGTTTTATGTAATTATATTGGTAAGAGCAAAAAAAGATTGGTAACTCTTCTCAAAGAGTCTGATACACAAGTGAAAATAATGGTTATAAGCATACGCAACTGAAACCTGCAGACATTTATTCATTGCGAGCTATTAAGCACCAATAGACCAGGCAGTATCTGTTCTAAAACACCATCATTTTGGGAAAATCCGTTATGATTCCATTATTTTTGCTTTAATCGCTTCGAAATCGTATTAAAAATGATAATTTCACTAGGCGAACACTTCAAACGGTGGGCTAAATTTTTTATTAAATAATTTGTTAAAAAAGATTACAAAAATTAATTTTTTTCCTTTTTGTTGCTATATCTAGGTAGCTATACTATTAAAAAATTTGTGAAATCAAAAAGTTTTGCAATTAAATTTCCTACAAGATATACTTAATTGCAAATTTAAAAAAAATATTATTATTGCAAAATTGACAAAAACCATTAAAACGGGATCAAAAATCAATGTTTTTCAGTAATATATTTTAGATTAATTACTATTTAACTGGGAATAAGCCACAATAAAAGATAAAAATACGTTTATTGACGTTTCAATTTCCACTTCGGAAATCGTTCTCAAAATACAAACAGTAAATTAAACAAATTTTGTTTTTTGTTACATAGTGAAAAATTCTTCTAATAATTTAATTTTATCTGACTCATTTATATTGACAATTCAGACATACATTATGCATTTTAAAGTAGACGACTTTAAAATGATATTGCAAATATTGTTGAGTTGCGCTCCTGGGACGACTTTACTTATAAGACAGTTCATTCGATTACATGAAATCAACTTTAACTTGAGAATATCCGCCAGAAAAAAATCATAGCATGTAATTCGTCTTTAAAAAGACAAACACATGACATGATGACAGTAAAATTCTCCTGTTAGTGATTCCATAGTAAATTATGAGGGAAAAACCAGGAAAAAAACCTCATAATACTATCCCGACATGGTAAGTATTTGTTCGTGCATTTAGTTTACCTTCAATAAACACCAAAATTCTGATTTTATGTTTCGTTATTTAAAAAACATAAATGATGTATGCTCTAAATGTTACTGACTTACTAATACTGGTATTTTCTTATTAATAACTTCCTCTTTCAATATTGGTAACCAGATCCTACTACATTCTGCCGAGGAATTTGCGACACAATTGGCTTCATTTAGCATAATTAGAGCCGCTTCTTTGATTTTTCTTTTTTTACCATCCGTTTCTTTTAGGACTACATTTGAATTATTCCATTGAACCTATGTTCATTATCCCATGCGTGTTTACATATTTGAGATCTATCAAATTCTTTATTTTTAATATAAGATTGATGTTCACTTATTCTAACATTTAATGGCCTTAACATTTAATGTTTCACCTAAATAAAACTGATAGCATTCACAAGGTATTTTATAAATGCAATTCTTTGTCCTTTCTTGTCCATTGTTAGGTTTGGTTTTACACAAAATATATCTCGACGTGTTTGTTGTTTTCAATGTTGTTGAAATGTTGAATTTATTTCCTATCCTTTTAAGTTTTTCTGATAATCCTTTTATGTACGGTATTGATATTTTCCTTGTATTATTCCTTGTGTATGCTGTAGAACAAGATTTTTTAGGTATTTAGAAGCTACATAGAGCCTTCAAATTTTACCCACAAAATCTTTTTATTATAAAAAAACACTACCAAAGATTTCAGCACATTCGATCAAGTAATTTTCGCAAAATAATTTTGCAATCTAAATTTGTGAAAAAAAGTTAATTTGTTAAAAAAAAATTAATTTTCAAAATTACGTAGAACCAACTAAAAAGTTTTAAATAGTTCAAGCTTTCAAATCCGTTGAATAGGAGAGCCTAGGGAATTTTTTGAACACCTATACAATTTTTAAACCAATAAACAAATAGAATAACTTCTACAATTTTCCGAAATTATGGTCGATTACACTTGACCGACATTTACAAAATTAGCACAAGGATTTGAGGTCTGTTTCTCAAACAAATACCTTTGCTGTGCCAACTACATTTGTAAATATTCTCCTTTTTTTCTTTTAACCGTCTGGTTAAAATGTTGATTTAAAACCTTAGAAATATAGAAAAATCAACGAGAGATAGTGGTGGGATAGCAATTTCAGCCATCTCAAAAAAGAAATCACGCGTTCAAAACAGCGCAGCGACGGGGTTAACAATTTCAATTATCTCAGCTTCTAGTGGACCAATTTTGATATTTTTTTTATCTGGGGTCCTGTGAGTTAGAACTTTCAAATATTGGTAAAGTTATATTAAAAAAAAAGGGTACAAGTATTAGAAAGGGAAGTTAACGTCATCCTATTTGTGTAAAACCGGCTGGAATTTTTGGAGGTTATCAAATGTCATAAGTGATCAAAAATGCAACTCATAGACGTCAAAGACGTTTAATTTGATAGAAGGTTTAACGTTACGTACAATAAAAAATTAATATGCCTCATCATTTAAGTGAGATTGAAAAGGCTCAAATAGTTACGAAAATGGAAGAGGGATGGTCAATTCGTGCGCTAGCAAATTTCTATAATAGAAATTTGAAAACAATCTTCAGAATTAAGCAACGATGGGTGCAACAACAATCATTAGAAAGAAAAGTTGGTTCAGGGCGTTCCAAAGTATCCACTCCTCAAAAAGATGCTGCTTTAGTTCAATTCTTAAGAGATAATCCATTTGCGACGTCGAAGGATTCAAGGATTCATACGGGATTTCCTGGTGCCCAACCTACTGTAAGCAAAAGGATCAATGAATCTGAATTAAAAAACCGACCAGCTGCTAAAAAACCATTAGTAACTGTTGAACATCGGCAAGCAAGAGTAATATTTGCACTAAACTATATTTACCGCAACCCACAATTTTGGAACAACGTCATTTTTACTGATGAAAAGACTTTTCAGTCGACCTATAACGGTCAAATCCGTGTTTATCGTCCAGCCAATACTAGGTTTGAAGAACGATATATTCATTCTCATAATAAATCTGGACGTTTTTCTGTAAATGTATGGGGTTGGATTAGTATACATGGACCTGGTGTTTGTTGGCGATTAGAGGGAAGATTTACTGCCGACAATTACATTAACGTTTTGGAACACGTAATGCTTCCTTCTATTGAGCAATTGTATCCTAATAATACTTTAATATATCAACAAGATAATTGTTCAGTTCACACTGCCCATGCCGTAAGGAATTGGTTTCAAACGCAAAACCTGGAAGTATTGCCATGGCCTGCGCACAGTCCAGATATAAATCCAATTCAAAACATTTGGGGCATAATTGTTAAAAAAATATATAAAAGAAATTTTGTGCCACAAAATTCAGATCAATTGTGGGATACAATCTTAGAGTGCTGGGAAGATCTTGATCCAAATATGATATCTAATATAATTCAAAGTATGCCAAATAGACTAAATAAAGTTATAGAAGCAGACGGTTCTATCACCAAATACTAAATTCTATTTGTAACAGTAAAATTATTCTTTATATAATTGTTGAATAAATGGATTCGTCTAATTAATGCTCAACGCCAATGATTTATATTTTTAATAACCTGTGACATTTGATAACCTCCAAAAATCCCAGCCGGTTTTACACAAATAGGATGACGTTAACTTCTCTTTTCAATACTTGTACCCTTTTTTTTTGAATATAACTGTACTCTTAAAAACGTATAATTATTTATTTTCCATGTTTTTATGTATAAATAAATATTCACTTGCAAAATTACGTCAGTTTTTCCTTTTTGTCAACTTTGATCGATCCTATTTGACTAATCATAATGACCAATTTAAATATTTTTTTAATACGCATCTTTCGCAGCGATTTTGTTAAAACAAAACTTTCTTGTCTTTCAAAAATGTTTGTAAAATGCATAGCTGTCGAGATATAGCAACTAAAATGAGAAAAGAAATTGAATTTTTCCAATTTTTCCAAAAATTGATTATTACAAAAATTTTCCCATCTTTTGCAGTGTCCTCATAGTAAAATTAGCATTTCTAATAATATTTCGCACCATTAAAGCAAAAAATGGGATCATATTCGCTCCGTGCGTGACTGACGCGACACCTACTGCCTTTATCTGACAATTTTGGAGTCCCAATTTTCAGGTTAAATATATGACATATGTTTGACATTGTTAAATACATGCGAAATTGACAATTATTAATAAATTAGTTTTTAACTATATTTTTTCAGTTTATGTACAAAATAAATGTAGTATTAAAAACTGGGTTTCTCAAAATTCATCATAATATATCTTTTCAACTCCAAACGGAAAAGAAAGGGAAAAACCTAATACTGACAAATCAAGTTTTTCACGCAAAAGAGCATAGAATAAAAACAATAATAGTAAAAGTTATGATATAAAAGCTAAAGTCATCTGCAGTTAGCTTGAAGCCTTATGAAATATTATTCAAGGTAAATTATTTAAATTTTTCCTATTTCAATTGCATAAAAATGAAATTATGTCATATTTACTTTTTCATATTAATAGCACGAATTCATCTTTTTCTTTTCTCTAATTTGTATGTATTCTTTGGGAACCTATAAAAACTACACTCACTGTTTTTGCTATTATTAGCACAATTAAATACCCAACATGTATTTCCACATATTTTTGATAAAATTTATACGTAAAAATATTTTGTCTAATATTCCAATTTTGTCATATTTCGCCGCTACGCACGCTGGCATCGTTTCAATGTACCCCTGCCACGGTCACGCACGGAGCGAATACGATTTACCCAACCCAAAACAGATAGCGCCTGGTTTACAAGTCAAATTCAATAAAAAAATATTTGCGAACATATCGAACTACTGCTTAAACAAACATAAGTAAATTTTGACCTAACAATAGAAGAATAAGGCGGAAGAAAGTATTGATTAATGGTATAAAAATTTGCTTGAAAAATTGGTGTTTTGTTATTGACTACAATCAACTAATTAGTTAATAATAAACTTTGTGTAGTAATAAAGAATTGAGTACTTACTGTGTGAGCAAAAATGATGCATATACTGGTCCTTCAGTCTCGTCGAGTAAATGGGCCGTACATTCCTTGACAGCTCGTTCGATAACACCATCTCGGAACGTAAAAAAATTGTTCGGATCCTCTTTTATGACAATTGTAGACTGTAAGCTCTTTTCGCTGGTGGCTACGGGGGCCGTGGTTGCCGTCGCCGTGGGAGGTGGTGTTTCATCTTTGCTTCCCTTAGAACTCCATATCGTTTCTGATACTGAAGGACGCAAATATAAAATATAGAAATTTATTAAGCATTTCTCACATGCAACTATTAAGCTAGCGTAGTAATATATTATTGAAGTCAACAAAAAGTTTAGTAGTGAAATATAATTTTAATTAATAGGACCTTAATTTTAGATTTGAATTGTATAACTGTACGTATTGTATATTATAAACGAATATACCTATATTATAGTCTAGGTTTCTATTTAAATAAAAAAATAAAAACTTAATAGTTTTCAGGCCTATCAAAAATTAGAAGGTAATTGATGTACACGCACTAAAAAGCAAGCAAAATATTATTAGAACATGATTTATCCTATTACTGTCTAAATAATTGTCTTGAGTTACCTGCTAGACATCTCAAAAACGATTACAAAAGATGGCTTTACCATCAATTTTACTTCTATGACAAGCCTAGTCAGTATATAATAGATCTCTATGAAGAATAAAGGTCACATACAAAAGTGTCTACCTACTTCCATTGTTTAATAATACAGTACGTTAAGTTTTGGATGAGATATGCAAATACATAAAGCGCTATAATCGGCAACACTGGTAATTGTAATTCTACGATCCCCTCCGCTCCAACCCTTAGACTCCTAGCCAGAAAACCATTTATTAACACATAACAATGCAAGGGATATGCAACTCCGTCCGTCGATTTTTGTTCTGCTTACGTACACCCGGTTCATTTCTTATAACATAAACTCGATAAAAACACACTGACCATTATAAGGCGGTGCATTTGTATCGGTTTTTAATAATGAACAATCGTTTGTAGTTGAATTAAAAATAAAAACGCATTTCTTTATAAAGATAAAACAAAAAATATACTCTTATTGAGAATAAAAAATAATTCCTAATAAAATAAGAAACAATTCTTTATGCCCCACAGAAACGATTCAAATATTTGACCTTCTACAGTTAAACAGTATCCCAATCTGTCATAAAAATAGATGTAAGAGTTTCTGCTGTAATAAAATTGAAGACTTCTCTTATCCGGTTTCCTAATTCATCCAAATTTTGGGCTCTAGCCTCACCATGATGGCAGATGATCATTAAAATAGATTTAAATGTCCCCAAAAAAACAAGTCCATGGATGTAAGATCTGGAGATCAAGCAAGTCACTTAATATCGCTTGCTCCACTGATAACTCGATTCGGGAAAGTATTGTTTAAGAACTCCCTAATTATTCGAGCGTTGTGAACTGAACAGCCGTCTTGTTGGAACCAAATATTCTCCAGATTTACATCAGGAAGATTGAAAATAGCAGAAAGGGCATGATTCTGTAACAAATCGAGGTATACTCTACTATTCAAGTTGCCCTCAATAAAAAATGGACCTATTATGTGGTCTGCTAAAATGCCAGTCCAGATGTTAACTTTTTGAGGACGTTGAGTTCGGTAAACAACACTTTTGTGCTGGTTTTCCCGCGCCCAATACCTCGTAATGGAAGGATTGTGTCTCCCTACTAACAAAACAGAATAAATCTACACACTGTTGTCCAAATTTACCACCATAAAACTATTTTATTATTTGAACCTTTTCTGCGGTCGTATAAACAGACATGTTTACAAAAATAAATTAGAAATCTATGTGCTTATTGCTTTAAACAACCATTGCATAATGACAAATTATTAGCATAGGGACAACGGAGGTTTGTGGAATGTCGAGGGCGCGCAGTGTTGCCATTTATAGTGTGTGTGTATATCTAATTTAAAACTTATTGTACGGTATACAGGGAGAATTGTGAATTTTGACTGAAATTTCGATTCGCATAACTTTTGAACCGGCCAACAGTTTCAGAACCTCTTGATTTTTTAACTAAAAATTTAGCAATCGTGGGGGAAAAATATACAATTTTAATTGCCTATTGAACGAATAGAAATTTCAGTCAAAATCCACAACTCGCCCTGTATATTATTAAACAATGCGACTAAATACTTTTTAATTTTTTTTTCTCCATAGAGGCTTCCATTCGAGGTAGAGATATGTACAGTTTCTCATGACGCACCTTTCTCATGACTCAAGTATTGATAAAGACTTGGCATACATTCCTTAGATGAAAAATAAAGTAAAAATTATCGTAAAAATAAAACACAAATAGCCATTGAAATAAGTGAATTGGATATAAACGTTTGGTATGTGTACGTGATTTAACTCGTTTTCAAGAAAGCCGAGAAGATGAATTTGACGAGTTTTCGGGTGGCCTTTGCACAACAAAACGAATAAATCGAAATAACATAGACACAGTAATTTTGTTTGATTCCTTAGGAATTAATTAAGGATGCATGAAGCCAATTTTAGATATCAATTTAAATATGAAAATCTGCGTGCAAATTACAAAATATACAAAGACGTCTTTAGACAATTTGCCTGGATCTTGCGACATCTATTTCAAATCTGCATAGAAAGCAGATTCAGGCAAATATGCATTTCGAAAAGTACAATATATGTTCATATAAATGGATATTATTAGTGTCAAATATACATGTATATGCATTTATTTAAACAAAATATGAACTTCATGATCCGTTCAAATATTTAAATACGCCAGTTAAAATATCAGCAACCTTTGATAGAAATATGCAACTAGTATTTTGTTAGTATATTAAGATACAATAAATCAATATTTTAATTCAAAGTGCTTTTCGCAAACACGAGGACAGTTCGATGAAAAATTATTCCAGCCCACATGATAACTTGTAGACCAAAATATGGACGAACACCCTGTACATGCTTAAGTCTCTTTTATCGACCAGGTCTTCTCCAATCTCTCACTCTTCTTGAGTCAGGGTCGTGACAAAAAAACATCTGTAAATAACACATAACGCCATTCTTATGAGCCCCAATGCACATGTTATTGTGCCCAGCTTAATCTAAGTTCACGATCTTCATGGAAGTTTGGTGTGAAGGCCAGTTTCATGTAATGTATTCCTCAAAGTTTGGTCACATACAGTAATTTTGTAGGAATTTTCTAAGGCTCCACAGAAATCACGTGCAGTTTTCTGCACATTTCCATGAGTTAATCCTAACACATACCGATCTTGTCGAGTAGTTGCATGTTGATGACCTTAATGTCTTTCAGCGAGATTACCAAATTGTTCATATCGACAATACAATCGCGAAATCACGCTAAAGGATACGTCACAATGACGAGTGCTTGTGAAAGACCAGTCTGAATCATATTCACACCACTTACCACTTAAACATATCTTAAATGGTGACGCTGCATTATTATCTTTGCGTTTAATAATTTTGTTTTAGTAAAATTTTAAAGTAAATACAGACTATCTTTAAAATTTCAACCACTATTTCTTTACGATTTGAAGCAATTAATTGTACGAATTGGCTGTCAAGTTTGCCTTCATAAAGCTGTAATTAACAGACTCATTTTCATGGCATACCTTGATTTGTTAAGAACAAATTTTCAAATCGAATGGAATGTATTAACAAAAAAGTGTTCAAGTTTTTATTGAACATAGTAGAATAATAATGGTGTTCCTTAGACACTTTTATTGTGTGGAATTAATTAAATCCGATTTAGAAACTTTTTCATTTTTAAGAGCTCAGATTAATAAATGCAACGCCCCGAAGAATCAATTATTTCATCCACATATACATAAAAATAATTGTCTCCTATATTTAATTTTATTTTATAACTTACTTTTTTCGCCGCAGAATATACAGATTCGGCCTCGTTTCTTCTTAAGCTTCTTTGGTTTGGAATATTCCATTTCCAGTATTTTTCAGCAAACGCACAAATTTTCGTTATAATTTTAGACAAAGTTATACTTGAACTTAACAATGCTTCGCACAAATCATGGTTAAATACCTCTTGCTCATTTGATTTTAGATTAGTGGATTAAGTCTCAAACACTTAGATATCAACCTAGGAATTCTTAACGGATTAAGATAAGAATAAAAATATTTTGGAAATGTCAGGTATGAAAGTATTTGAACAACGAATCAACGAATAAATTCCTTTCAAAAACGGATTATATGCACTTTTTTTAATGCAAAATAAAAAAAAATGATGAACATATGCTAATGCATATCCACTTTTGCATATTTGCCTAACTTTGGTAATAATACTTGACTTAGTTAAAGCTGTGACAGAAAAACGACACGCTTCTTGAAAGCTGACATAAGAAAGTATGAAGTACTGTTCCGAACAATGGAACAATGCAACATTTACATGGAGCGTTGCAGTGATAAAAACGGGTGTATGTTAAGGATGATTGAAGTAAGAATTCATGGAATGTTTTATAACAACATTTTTTATAGCACGTTGCAAAAGAAAGTAAAGGGTCAAGAAAATTAACTTTACTACAATAATGCTATCAAAGCCATGATTCAATTAAGAAATAAAAGACTTATCATATAGGCCAGAGAAATAAGCAAAAAAGTACCCTATTTGTGACACTAAACCGATCAGGAAAACGACAGTTATTCTGAATACTATGTAACAAAAACCTATTTTTTTCCTGCAGTCGATTTTTTGGACTTAACTAATTATTAACTACAGACCATCTAATTTATTTACAGTTGCACGTCATTATCATTGACAGAGATCGAAGTTGACATAGTTGGCAAAGTATAAAAAAACCTGAATCCATTTTAAATCAAATAGGTCACATCATTATTGCAAAAGTGGATTATACAACAAAACAAATTAATATTTAATGTAAATAAATAGAAACAAAACAAGAGTTAAAAAATAATGTTTTTAAAAATATTTTGATCCGCTTGTATGCGTCGTATAAAGATGTAAAATGGAATACTTAAACAAAAACAGCCCTTTTTTCAACACCGCAACTGTAAAATAAGTGTTACCAATTTATGTCAAAATATCACCTTCGTTCGATTACAGTTACAGTGTGTTCCGAACAAAAGTTCTTTATAAAAACGCTTTATAATGCATTTATACAAATTAAATGAAACATATTATTGTGTATTTCTTTAAGTTAACATTAATAGAAATCTTTAAATATCGGTTCACAATTTGTTGATAGTTCACTACAAGTTTAATCCTAATTAGAGAACTGAAATACAGAGAAGATAAGTAATACGATATAATACTAAAAACCTACCTGCTGACGGTTTAAGATGTTTTCGACTAACCCACCTTATATTTGCAGGAATACAATACAGCGGTCAACCTTATAATCCGATTACAAAGGTATTTTGGTTACAGATGACCGACCAGTGTAGAGTATATGATTGAAACATTTATTTGAACTAAATAAATATATTTTTTTAATTGTATTTTTGTTTTAATAAAACTTCTTTATTTTATTCAAAAATAAAAAGTTTCTTGTCATTTGTAAAAGATACAGTTATTTACTTAAGGGGAAAGGAGCCAAATGTCGCCTGGCAAAATTTTCAATGTGTTTTAAATATAAGTATCCCTTATTTTCGAATCCGGAGAAAACTAATAAATGTTTTTAAAAAATTTAAACGCAGAATGAAAGATTACTGAGGGCAGAAAGTCCATGAACACTTCTACAATGTTTATTTTAATACGTTATGTAACAGGGGTGAAAATAAAAGAGAAAATATAGTTTAATTTTTAATTGAAAATATTGCATGCAAAAGAAACTTTTTATTTATTCTAATAAATATTTCATTCTGCCTTTAAATTTTTCAAAAATGCTTTTAAGTTTTATCAGGATTTGAGAAAAAAAAATGGATACATTTAAAACACATTGAATATTTTGATAGGCGACATTTTGCGCCTTTCCCCTTTAATACCTTACGATTACAACTACTATTACTTACCTTATATAACTACGATTAGAAAACTATGCAAATTCAAAAACAATTAGGATCAACTTCGGAATCCGAGTCGTCTTTAGGGTTAATAATTAGCGGTTGTGTCTCTACGGTCGCATCAATTATGTTATCAAGATCTCACATTTTTTGTTATTCTACTATTACATGTCTTACTGCATCTTTCCAGTTTTGTTCTGTAATATGTTGTAAAGACTCGTATAATAATTCACGTACAGCTTGTATTTTATATGACGTATTTTTTCTAGCCACATAACTTTTCATTTGTGCCCAAATGAGTTCAATATATTTCGCAGTGGTAGGGTGGAAGTCTAAGGACTGAGCTGTTTCGCCTTTACGCCATTTTGTCAACTACGTATTTCTTGAACTTAGATTTATGTTGGCGGGCAATTTTTAAAAGTTCTGCTTTTACTATTCCATCTTCGTAAGGCAGATACTTATTCCGCAGCCAGCTAAGAATATCCTGTTTCTTCCACGCCGTCCTTGGAAGTTTTTCTACTAGTCGTGAATGATAAGGTGCATTATCTAATACTATCTCCTCCCGGTCAATCAAAAGTGATTTTCAGTCTGATTTCTCCCACCGGAAATTTAATACTTTTAAAACTAGCCACAATTTAGTTCGTCCAATATGAGGCAAATCCGGGTCGTCTCTAACTTCTTGTAAAATTTTGTTTAGGTGTGGTATTTCTCTTTTGAAAAAAAAAATCCATGAATTTTCCTTCGAATACCATTTTTGGCAAATTCATCAATTTCAATAGGCTTTTTCCCTCACTTTAAGTGTTCGTTTGTGTTTGGGTTAGCTATATCGTGTTTTTTTCTTTCTGATAGGAACCTATATATAGGTGACTCCCTTACGCCAGTCATGTTGGCACAACTTTCGACTATGTTGCGAAAAGCGTTTGTGGGATTCTGAAAAACCAGAGCATCGTGAACATTCAGGACAACAGTCTTCTCTCTTGGTGAATAGACAGACTTACTGACTGTACGCAACAGTACCGGTGTAAACAGTACCGGTTGATAATGTTGATGATGAAGCCATCACAAACAATCCAACAAAATGAGCACGAGCGTAAGGTACGTATATGTTCGTAGGTATATGGAATAAAAAATCAGTCACGCACTGCATATAATTTGCAAAAGAAATATTTGAGACGCTAATTACTGCCTTAGACGCGGAATCATCGACGAGCCGTAAATTACATGCAATCAAAAACGTACTAAACAAAAAAATTGTTTTCGTTCGTAATAACTTCACCCTTTTAAGTTAAGTTTCGAATATAAACTGAACAGACGAGGCACGTGGCCAAAGCCAGCATCTATACCTATTATATTATTAAAAATCTGGGGAATACCATCCTAATTATCTTGCAACGAATAGTACCTTGGGATGTGAATTCCAAGTTTTCTAGTAAAGTGATTAAACTCGAAGATTAGTATTGAAATATCCAAAGATATAAGGTATTCTTATTTACAAAATCGTTAATGGTTAAATTCTTATTTTTATTAATATAATATAATAACCAACATTAGCCGTGAAAGTTTTAATTGTTTTTTGCTAAATATATTAGTATTAAAACATTATTAATATTAATTTTAATGAATAAACACCCCAGAAACGCCTATGATGATACAAATTTAACGACCGTTTTATGACTTTGAGGCACATTTCGTGCTATCAACAATTTGCGAACGGATAATAGTAGCTGTAATGCCAGTGTACGTGGCAAAGTGATTCTAAAAGATAACACACCTACCGCCTAAATATTTCGTGTTGGTATCATGTGACATCACGGGCTATGACGCGGATGACGTGCAACGGTAAGTAAATTAGATGAAGTATAATTTAGGTCGAAAACGATAAATTTTCTCGTTTTTTTTCTTCTATCAACAAAAAGTGAAGCATTTGAAACAAATTTGATAGTAAGAAACTTATAAGTCTAAAAAACTTTTAAAATGGCATTTTTTAAATGTTATTAACTTTATATAAGTACTAACACTACCACAACTCGTGCAGTATTAACATTTTTCTGATATACAGGGTGAGTCATGATTAACTGTACTGTAGAAAGCGGTACATCACAAAAATTCAAAATTAATTTATACAAGAAATATTTGGTTCGACTATGTTTGAACAAACATATTGAATATAATATTTTATTACCAGGACTATTAGAAATTATTTTAGTACGAATAAAAACTAGATTTTATTAAAGCTCTTTAGTACCAAACGGCCGTTTGATCTGTTGTGTGAATAAATAGGAATTTCAATTT